AGATCTAATATCCCATATTCCTCTGGTAGAGATTAACCAGATTCTCCCCTCTTTCCAGTCTTCCCAGATTCACTTTCAACACATCCAATGCTCGCCCCATATACTCGATCCCTAAGGAACTCACATGGGGCGAAATATGCAAATTTGGGATGTCCCACAGCGGATGGTCAGAGGGTAAGGGCTCAGGATCGGTCACATCGATCGCCGCCCCGCTCAGCTCGCCCGATTTTAAACTCTCCATTAGCGCATTCTGATCAATCACCCTGCCCCTGGAGATGTTGGTGAGGAAAGGACGTCGTGTGGTGCTGGTGCAGGATTTTGAGAGGAGTGCCATTTCTTCCGCACCAATTAGCTTTTCCGTGGAAAGGGTTAGCGGGACGGAAATAAGGAGGTAGTCCATATTTTGAGAGAGGAAACTATGGAGGGCTGTTTTGCCAGAGCCGCAATGCCAGGATACTGGCAGGGTGCCATCAGGGTCACCGGTGGTCGGCACGATGTAGCCAGTATCTCGTCGCGATTCAAGGGTGTTACGGGGAGAGAAAGTATATGCGAGGACTTTCATACCCATGGCGACAGAAACGCGAGCAACTAGAGAGAAGTTGTGTCAGTAGCAGGGGGTTGGAGATCAGGAATATCCTTCAGAATTTGAAATCCTGGGACACAAAACAATAATCAAGTGAGAGCGAAAGGGAGATTTAGAAAGCTTAGACGTATAATACCTTGGCGCCCAATACTTCCATATCCTAGAATCCCCACCCTTTTGCCCACATTATCCTCCAACTTGTGCATGAGCGTTTGGTTGAGATGCCAAGTATGCTTCCTTTGCCATTCCGACGTCTGGTCATACAGTCTGGAGGACACAAGCCAGTTCATAACCACCCATTCCGCTATTGGTGGGCCGTGAATACCGGAGGTCGTTGTCAAGGGGATATTAGAGTCTGTCACCATAGGATGGTTTAAGAAAAGGTCCATGCCTGAGGATATGACATGGATCAATTTCACCCTAGATGGAGAAGTTACTGTCAGTTCATAAAATATTATCACGGATGACGTTCAGTTAGCTCACTGGACGGAAAATTAGCACATTTTCTTACCTCGGAATTTCCTCGAGAACTGGGCGGTAATGCAGGATGCACAGGATTGTTGCTGAAGCTAGGAGATCTGTTGAAATGAAAAGAAAGATAAAAAAAAAACACAGAGAGATCAGCAGAGTAAATAAATTTGTTTGACAAACACAAGTGAGACAGAGAGTCGAAAGC